CCCCCCTTCCCCCCCCCCCTCCCTCCCCCCCCCACTTCCCAGAGCCAATCACAGGGTTAACAATACAATAACCATACTCTATCTAACATTAATCAACTATTAGATTAACAAATCTGTAACACCCTTTAACTCTCTTTTAAACAAACATATTAAACACAATAATTATAACATCATATTAATAATTATAAATAAAAGTAAGTAACCAATTATAACACATAAACAACATTAACACTCTAAAATTTACTCATGTTTTTGATCCCCTGACCACAGGGATGCTTGAATGGTCATAGGTGCGAGGACCGGTCATAAGAAACTTTTTTTCCCGTGCCGCTGTAACTCGGAACGGTCACTAAACGGATGTTTATAAGCCCAGGCCTGGGGGTTTTTTCTCAATCCACAAACATCTTAGAAGCGATGTTCTTTCCAGGGCTGTTTTTAATTTTCTATTTACTCAAACTTTATACAGTCGTCCTCGACTTACGACGGTCCGTTTAGTGACCATTGCAACAGCACTGACCAAAAAAACAACCCTTCTTTCACACATTCCCCCCTGGTCACCTGATCCAAATCGGGACGCTCGGCAACTGACTCGTACTTACGACGGTAGCCGCGTCCTGGGGTCACGTGATCCCTTCTTGCGATCTTCTGACCCGCAACTTCAGCGGACAAGGTGGATTCACGTAAGAACGGCAGGGATTGGCTTAAGAACTGGGGCCAGAACGGTCGTAAAATGGGGCAAAACCCACTTCGCAAATGCCTCGCTTAGCGACTTAAATTTGGGGCTCCGTTGTGGCCGTAAGCCGAGGACTCCCTGTGTTTCTTTTCCTTCACTTCTCTTTACCCCCCCCTAGCCAATCTGGGTTTTTGGGGGGGGAATCACCCACCCACTAATCAGATCCTGAGATCTGGCGTGTTTTTATGATCCTCGGCCTTTCCTAATAAATTTCTGGACGAAACCGGAGTTTTGAAGCAGAGCTCTCTAGCAATTTCTAAGCAGAAATGTGGGTCAAGGGGCCCCACCGGAGCTATTTTGAACGCACAGCCACAACGCTACACAATCCATCCCAGCTGCAAACAGGCCCTATGCGTGCTGAGGCGGTTTCTGTTTGATGAAGAATGAAAGAGCCATTGAGAATGGCTCAGCAGAAAAGGAAAGAGAGGCGAGGAGGGAAGAGGAAAAAAATAACATAAAATAAAAATAACAACGCCCCCCCCCTCCCACATGCTCAATTCTTAACCCAAACTGCACAACCGGCTGAAGGGGGAAGACGGGGAAAATGGAGAGCAAAACGCTTCCATGTTTATATATATTTGCTTACAAGACAGGAAACGGTGAGGTGACTTACAAGAATGAACAAGCGTCCTTGGATAAGCTGGAATTTTCCAGCGGTTCTTATTTCAGAAAGGGAGCCAGAGGCAAAAGAGTCCTCCTTTTCCAGATAGAATAAAAGACAGAAATAAAAATAACTTTTTTTTTCCTCCAGATGCTCGAACCTGCAGCTGTCTGGCTCTTCCAGCTTATCTGCATTCTGCTCTTTGAACTCTCTGATTTTGTCTGAACTGGTTAGGAGAGGAGAAGGCAGCGGCCGGGAAAAGGCCCTTGGCCAAGTGGGAGCTGGCTACAGGAAAGATCCAGGCTCTGGTCCCAAATTATTTTCTCTCTCTTTTTTTTTAAACAAGGAAGGTTACATAAAGCAGATCTTTCCTTCCTTTTCAACATTTCAATGTGATTAAAACTGAACTAACTCTCCTTCCTTCCCTCCTTCCCTCCCTCTTCCCATCTATTCCTTCCTTCCTTCCCTCCCTCTCTCCCTCTTTTCTTCCCATCTATTCCTTCCTTTCCTCCCTCCCTCCCTCCCTCACTCCCTCCCTCTCTCCCTCTTTTCTTCCCATCTATTCCTTCCCTCCCTCCCTCCTTCCCATCTATTCCTTCCTTCCTTCCTTCCCTCTCTCCCTCCCTCCCTCTTCCCGTCTATTCCTTCCTTTCCTCCCTCCTTCCCTCTCTCTTCCCATCTATTCCTTCCTTTCCTCCTTCCCTCCCTTTCTTCCCATCTATTCCTTCCTTCCCTCTCTCCCTCCCTCTCTCTTCCCATCTATTCCTTCCTTCCCTCCCTCCCTCTCTTCTTCCCATCTATTCCTTCCTTCCTTCCCTCTCTCCCTCCCTCCCTCCCTCTTTTCTTCCCATCCATCCGTCTCTTCCTTTTCCCTTTTCTCCTTCTTTTCTTCTTTCCTTTCTTCCTACCTTCATCCCTCCCTCTTGGGAAGAATCTCCATTATCCAGTTTCAAATGTTTATATTCTACACATCTTTCTGGGGGAAAAAAGAGGTTCATTTCTGCCCCCAACATAAAACTGACAATGTTCCCTATCCAGAAAATCAAATATATACGTAAATTGAATGGATGGGTGGATGGATGGATAGATGGACGGATCCCGATCAATCAATCAACCAACCAACCGACCAACCAACCAATCAATCAGTCAATCAGTCAGCCAATAAATCCACGCAGGGCTATTTGGGGGATCACTTCTGAAGACCCAAAGGGAATAAAAGGGATTTTAGAAAAGAAGAAGAAATAAAAACAGACCCAGCCCTGATGTTTATAGGATTGAGCAAAAGAGCCAGTACGTTTATGCACAATCTTCACACAAAGAAGTGACAAGGCAGAATCAGCTGCCCAGGAAATTTACCTGGAAGGAAGTCAAAATATTGAGGAAGTTCTGAGACCTTGAGCAAGAGGAGACAACGTTGCGAGGGCCGCAAAGGAGTTGGTCGGTGTGTGTGTGTGTGTGTGTGTGTGTGTGTGTGTGTGGGGATAGGACGATTTCGCAAGGAAGGGTGGAGGCAAAGCTCTATAAAAGATGACAGCGTTGCGAAGATCCTCACTTCATCCAGGACCAACCTTGCTCTCTTATCTATCAACGTGGGAGGTAAGTGGAGGCTCTTGGCCAAGGGTTCAAGACTTCTCTGGGTCCAGAAGGCCAAAATTGGGGGCGGGGAATCGCTCTGTTGAGGCAGATTCAGCTTTGGGTCCGACAACTCCGGTCTGAAGATCTGGAGAACTTTTGCAGCCCAAGGCTGGATCTCAGTGTCAAGCAGTTTAGGGAGAACCATGAGGACTAGAGACTTTAGCTCCAGGGGAAGAGCCAGACGTCGGAAGGTCCAACAAGGGTGAAGCCATGTCTCGTGTGGCCTTCATTACAAGACCACCTTCTTTCCAGAACTAGGGACCTCCTCTTAATTTTTTTTTTAAAGGTCTCTTCTTGACACAAACCAGTTGCCATCTGGTCCCACGCTGGGATGGGCACTTTCTACTGGCCACGTGCCAAGAAAGGGGAAAAGGTCCAACTTGGCAAAAGCTCCAGGGTCAAAATCAACTGTGGTTCTCCCCCCCCCCCTTTCACCTTGGAAATTAGCCGACCTAAAATGGTCCAACTGGGTCCTTGGAACCAGCTCAAAATTTTGAATCTTAGGATCATAGAGTCATAATAGCATAGAGTCATAGGGTCCTGGGGCTGGAAGGGACTTTGGTGGTCATCTAGTCCAACCCAAAGCAGGAGAACCCATTCCATCCCGGTCAAAGGGTTGTCAAAGCTTGAAGATCTCCAGCAATGGAGCACTCATAACTCCTGGAGGTGACCCACTGACTAATTGTTCTCATGTCCTGTTTAATGGGAATTAAATTCTACAATCGATAGTTTCTGTAATACTGGGAAGAACTATTTGGGAAGTTTTGGAAGGAAAAAAAGGAGCCTAGAAGGGGAAAAAAAAGTAAGGGGAGAACTGAGGCTCAATTCGACCGTTTGCGCTTAGAGCTCCGGGATGAGTCGACGAATTCCAATCTTGCCTTGTGATAACCGACTGATCATTTGATTCTTCCAGATCAGAAGCAAAGCAAAATGTCTAAGACTCAGCTGGAAAAATGTTGCGACTGCATCATGGACGTCTTTCACAAATATTCCACTATAACGGAACATCCGGACATGCTCTCCAAGGGAGAGTTTGCCAACTTGCTGAGGGAGCAGCTTCCAAACTACATTCAGGTGAAAAGAACCTTTTTGTTTCCTTTGGATTAAAAAAAACAATTGGGAAGGGAAGGGACGGGAGAAGGGAGAAATGGGGATCCACCATAAAGAAGCTTGACTTTCATGGAGAAAGTCGCCCAAACTTGAAGGCATCAACCGAAGCTTCAAGCTGAAGGGTGCTGTGGCGGCCTCTGGTGGCCGCTGAGAATACTGCAGCCAGTCCCTTTCATGGCTTCCAAAACCAGAGGCAAAACGGACCGAAATGGGTAAAAAGTCAAATAGACGTGGAAAACAAAACAAAACAAAACCAGAATGTTGAGAAAATGAAATTTGGTGGTGCTTCAGCAACCAAGTGGGGTGATTGGCCAGCTTCCGGCCTTGGGTGGTGGTCCTGGAAAAAAAAAACCCGGAAAAATTGGGGGAAAAAATAGGTTTCCCCTCTCCCCGGTTTTTTTTTTTTTCTTTCTAAAGCTGTTTGGGAAAAAAAAAAGGAAAAAAACCCCCTGTTCCCCCCCATTTTTTTCAGCATTCAGCTCAATCTCCCCATTATCCCCAAACCACTCAGCCAGTCCTTACGGCCAAAATTTGGGATCAGAATTTCCACGGGTTAAGCCAGGCGGGCTGTTAAAATAAATCCTGCCCGATCTTACGACCCTTTTCAGCCAAGGTTGTTAAGTGAACCCCCTGGTCGTTAAATGAATCGGGTTTCCCTTACCGGCTGCTTTGGCTGGGAAGGTCGTAAGTGTGGATCATGCGCCCCCAGAATGTAAGTACACCCTGGTTGCCAAGCGCCTTAATTTTGATCACGTGACTTTGGAGGGGGGGGGAATGAGACGAGGGTCATAAATCGGAGGACTTTCTTTCCCCCCCTGGCATCGTTGTAATTTCAAATGGTCATTAAACGAATTGTCGTGAATCGAGGACCGGTCGCATCCCTTGTTCTTCCTTTTCCAATGCTGTCTTAGCGATTTTCTCAGGCTGATGATAGGGCCCAAACCATTAAAAATGTTGTTTTCTTTGGAATTTGCAGAGCACTAAGAACACCGAGGCCATGGACCGCCTCTTCAACGAGCTGGACAAGAATAAGGACCAGATGCTGTCTTTTGAGGAGTTCATGACTCTCGTGGGGAGATTCATGATCCAGTGTCATGATGACTTCCACCACAAACACTGAGCCAGCGGCCGGTCTAATCAGGGTCACCTCTTCGAGGCTTCTGGGCTCAGCCCTGGGGGGCCCAGAATAATAAAGATTTTAATCTTCCCCAAAATGGTGCGGTTGTCGTGTTCTTCAAGGTTTAATTTTTTGGGGGGTGGGGTGGGTGGGAGGATCACGAAGGGCGTAGAAGATCAGCTGAAGGGTTTCTCAAGTGTGGCGACTTGAAGAGGGATGGGCTTCAACTACCAGAATTCCCCTTGCAACTCTTGTTATTCTGCATTCCGAGCGGGGGGGGGGGCTGGACTAGAAGATCTCCGGGGTCCCTTCCGACTCTGTTATTCTGTATTCGGAGCAGGGGGTTGGACTAGAAGATCTCCGGGGTCCCTTCCGACTCTGTTATTCTGTATTCTCACATGGGGTTGGACTAGAAGACCTCCGAGGTCCCTTCCAACTCTGTTATTCTGTATTCTCACATGGGGTTGGACTAGAAGATCTCCGGGGTCCCTTCCGACTCTGTTATTCTGTATTCGGAGCAGGGGGTTGGACTAGAAGATCTCCGGGGTCCCTTCCGACTCTGTTATTCTGTATTCTCACATGGGGTTGGACTAGAAGACCTCCAAGGTCCCTTCCAATGCTATGATTCTATGTTCCACATCGTATTCCTAATTTCCTAGGCTTTTCCTGCCACTAGCCTGAATGCAGAGCCCCTGTTCCCCAATTTAGCACAGGACTACATTTTTCATCAGCCTCAGTTCGCTTGAGCCCACCCTGATGCATTGGAACTGTAGTCCCAAAGCTGAAAGAACTGGGAATGTTTCCCGAACTCTGACAGCAGATAAGAAAAAATAATATGGGGCGATAAAGATAATTATCAGTGGTTTTGACATAAGGTCAAGCTAAATTTGCAAGCTTGACATGTTTTGCCTGGACATCGCCAGAAAAAACTATCAGGAGGAATACCCCTTGGGAAAATCCCAGGTAGGGGAATTATAAATAATTATAATAAATAATTGAGTGTGAATCAAGCATCAGCTGCCAACATTGCTTATAAATTGCTTTAAATATTTTAATTGCATGGAAAAAACCCTGCTTGATAGCAAGGTTGGTGTTGCAATGAGCAGTGGGCTAATGAGGGCATGTAAAGGCAATAAGTTCTTCCTAATTGGAGCTTTTTAAAAAGGGGCCAGTCCTCTTGAGGATGGTTAACAGGTTGTCCGAGGGCTGGGCTAGATGGCCTTTGGTGATACCTTCTCCCTCCACCGGTTCGATGACCTCAGCCAGCAGCCAGCTGACACGTCTGAAAGGAAAAGCTAGCCAAGGTTAAAATTAATCCAAACGAATAACCCAAAGTGGCATCCAGGTTTGTGGCTGGTTTGGTGGGGTGGGCACAGAGAAACTTCCTTTAGAGTGGAATTAAAATGGGAGGAAAAATATATATATATAGAATAGCCTAAAATTATATTTTATGGCTTCTGCTGCCCTCTTGTGGTTGAATAGAAACACACATGCTAAAAGGGAAGGGAAGGGAAGAAAGGGAGGGAGGGAGGGAGGAAGGAAAGAAGGAAGGAAGGAATAGAAAAGGAAGGAAGGGAAGGAGGGAGGCAAGAAGGAAGGAAGAGAGAAGGGAGGGAGGGAGGAAGGAAGGAATAGAAAAGGAAGGAAGGGAGGGAAGGAGGGAGGCAAGAAGGAAGGAAGAGAGAAGGGAGGGAGGAAGGAAGGAAGGAATAGAAAAGGAAGGAAGGGAAGGAAGAAGGGAGGGAGGAAGGAAGGAATAGGGAAGCTAGATAGGAAGGAAGGAAGGAAGAAAAGGAAGTTGAGGATGAGGAGAGAAAGAAAACTCTATATTAATTTTAAATAAATATATGAAATCCAAATATTTTACGGGACCTCCAGCTTTAACAGCACCCCGTTTTTTTTTAAATCAATTAGATTTTAAATTATCTAGCATCCCAGACGACACCAACTAAGTTAAAACACAAAGTCTCCCGCTCTGAGCCCACCCGAGCCTCTTTCAGGGTTATTTGGGGGCTCCTGGTTCTTTCTGGCTTATCTCCTGCTTGGCTTCCTTCTCTAGGCACCAGCCCGTTTTGTGAACTTGTCTCCTCTGCTTCACTCTTCTGGATTTCGGCTGTAGCGTGTTTCGCAGGCCGCCGTGGGCGTGCAAAAGTTGCAACTGTGCGCAACAATCCAGCTCCCCGACACACCCCCTTCTCAAAACCTTGCACAAGGCCTATAAGTCATGTCTGAATGGCCACAAAGGGGTCCTTTGTAGAACCCAGCCCTGGAATTACCCTAGTTGAAGCCGGGATCGTCTTTCTCCACACTGGAGGAGATTTCGACATGGCCTGGCTGATGTGACAGCTCGGGTTGCCTTCCTCCTCCTTCTTTCCAACAGGTTGCAATCTTCACCGTCGGCCTCGGGGACCGGAGAGGCAGAACGCCACGTCGCTCCTCCGGAAGACACCTGCACAGGTAGGTGGAAAGCCCTTCGTCCCTTCCTTGCTATCTCGGTTGTTCTTCATCTGAGGAGCGCAGGAGAGGCTGAACCCCTTGATGGAGTTGTGATGTCCTCCGTTCCAGACAATTTCTTTCTGCTTGCATTATCCAAACAAGCTCCCTGCCTGCCTTGAGGCACACAACCCGTGGGCAAAACCCAACAACAACACGGGTACTAATTTAAGGTACAAGGGCGAACAACCAGGGTCACCTCTGCTTGGCTGTGTTCCATGAGATATTTACTAAGATTTGAAGATAGATAGCTAGATATCTAGAGAAGAAGAAGAAGAAGGAGGAGGAGGAGGAGGAGGAGGAGGAGGAGGAGGGAGAGAGAGAGAGAGAGAGAGAGAGAGAGAGAGAGAGAGAGAGAGAGAGAGAGAGAGAGAGAGAGAGAGAGAGATGTTTCAATTTAATAAGAGGTGTCAAATAACAACATAACTACTAATTTAACATACAAGGATGAGCAACCGGGATCACGTCTCTGTAGTTCCATTCCATGAGATATCTGATCGAAATCTGAAGATTTTCCAGAGAGACACAGAAAGGAGGAGGGATGTCCTGAATTAATAAGAAGTGTCTCCTCATCTTCAAGTCATCTCATTCCTTCTGATGTCTTTCTCAGCCTTTGAGTTGGTCTTTCTAGAATTTTTTTTCCCAAGTCTACCACTTGTTCTTTGAGAAGTGAAGGCCCATAAATGCATTTCAGGATAGGTCAGAATAGGCCCAGGTCGTCTGATTCCTGTAGAAATATCTGAGTGGTCTTCTTGAAGCTATTCAACCTTCACCTCTGGTTGGAAATTATAATAGAGTTTAGAATTCGGCTATCTGGAGGAGGTGAGGTCCTCCTCCTGGAGGAGAATATCTTCATTGGCTTTGGAAGACCATCTTGGAGGGAAGATCTCCCACGTTCTTGATGCCACCATTGGCAAAATCCTCTTCACTGCTGTCATTTGCTACATTTTACTTGGGTGGGGGCCTCTGAAGACAAGGTCCCCAAAAAGGAACTTTAGTGTCCAGATCGATAACCGTGACGATGTGATCCTCCCCTTAATCTGGTCTCGTTCCTGAGATGGTTGAAGTTGGAAACCTAAATTATGGAGGGTGATCAGAGAAGTTGACCAGGTGCCCGTATAATGGACAAAGGTTGGCACAGCGTATTCCAGGGTCCCCATCTTGACAGATTTACAATAGGAGGAACAATGAGCAGGCCAGCTCTACTATTAGTCCAAAGGAGTTGTAGACTCAGGCCGAAAGCTTCAGGGGCTAGCGAGAAAGCTGGTGGTAGAACATCTGCTCCTAAGTCTTTTTTGACCTACGTACATCTTAGGCTTAATTAACTATTTACCAAAAGGTGGTGTTCTATATGGAAGATAAGCAGGGATGTTGTTTTTGTGGTCGGGCAGCCCAAACTCTGTTGCTGGACTTGACCAGTTTTGATCCCAAACATCTTGGTTTTTTTCAGAGGATCTCAGAGCAACCAGCATCGGGAGAAGATGACCAAACTGCAGATCTGTTTCTTCATCTTATGCTCTCTGTCTCAAGGTAAGCCCCAAATCTTGTTCAGGTAGGGTGAGGGGCATATGATACAGTCCTCCATGTAGTGGTGTTCACCAACCACATTGAGGAGGAAGTTCTAAGGATCGTCTATCCACCCTGAGCAACGATCATGGGGTGTGTTACTCCTCCAAGGTATAAATCTGGTAAAAAAAAAATACAATCTGTCCTCTGCCCAAGTCAGTTTCCAAGCCATCTTGCCTCCAGAACTTGTAGGTGCTTCATCACTGGAGGTTTTTAAGAGAAAATTGGACAGCCATTTGCCTGGAATGGTCTAGGGTCTCCTGCTTGGGCAAGGGGTTGGGTTGGACTAGAAGATCTCCAAGGTCCCTTTCAGCTCTGTCATTCTGTGATCCCAGATCAATTAATCGGTGGAACGGCTTCCCTCCAGAAGTTGCGGGTGCTCCATCACTGGAGGCTTTCAAGAAGAGACTGGACAGCCATCTGTCTGGGATGGTCTACTCTAGAGACTCTCCTGCTCAAACAGGGGGTTGGACTAGAAGACCTCCAAGCCCCCCTTCAACTCTGATGAAGTTCTGTGTTCTATGTACAAATTCTTGGCCTGAGTGAAAGTAGTCCAGAACGAAGGCTTGGATTGGCCCAGATCAGGTCCACTGATAGAAGGTCAAGATTGCACGTAGGGGCGGTTCTAGGGGCTGCCCTTGAAGGCTGCCCTGGGGTCCTCCTTGGCCCCTGCAAGGCTCCATTGCTTTCCTTTCTCCAGCCACAGGTTGTTTCCGACTCATCACCCCCTCGAAATGGGGAGCCAGGCCGGCCAATTGCTCCGTGCCGTTGAGGGACGTCCCGCCCGAGTACGTGGTCATCATCCACACGGCCGGCAACCCCTGCCGGACTCACACCCACTGCCACAACGAAGTCAAGGGGATCCAGAACTACCACATGAACCTCAAAGGGTGGTGTGATATAGCGTACAGGTGAGGAGGACGGGATGCTGGATTAGGTTCTGGATTAAACCCCCCCCCCCCGATAAAAATTAAGGCTCTCTGGACCTGGGGGAAACTCCTGGGGATTATGTGGAGGTGCTTCCCTATGTGGTTGTTGTTGTTGTTGTTGTTGTTATTTTAAACAACGAGGCAGGTTCTTCCTGGAATGTTTTGCTCCAGTCTGGCCTAAATATCTGATATTTTCTAGTCTTAAATTTGGCTTAATGGTTTGAGATCCGCCATGTAACTGGATGGAAAAGACGTATCTGGTCCTAAGTGGCTTGTAAAATCTGACTGAAATCAGCCATATCCTTTCCTTTCCTTTCCTTTCTTCTTTTCCTTCCCTTCCCCTCTCTTTCTCCTCCATTCCCATTCTTCTTTTCCTCCCTCCCTTCTTTTTCTGCTCCCTCCGTTTCCTTCCTTCCTTCCTTCCTTCCTTCCTTCCTTCCTTCCTTCCTTCCTCTGTCCCTCCCTCCTTCCCTCCCTCCCTCCCTCCCTCCCTCCCTCCAGTTTCCTGATCGGTGAGGATGGTTACGTGTACGAAGGACGGGGCTGGCGCAACGAAGGATCCCACACCTATGGCTACAACGACCTCTCTCTGGGGATTGCGTTCATCGGCACCTTTGTGGGTAAGTTTGTCCACAACTTCAGAAAAACGCCGAGTTAGTCATCGCAGGGAATACACGGAGCCTCCATGCTTAGGGGCAGGCTACCATTAAAACTCAGTGTGAAGCATCAAACCACACTAGAGGGAAAGCAATGGGCAGAGGGCCCGGGAGAGAAAGTTTCACGGGGGTCAAGAAAGTTGCAATGGGACAGGGAGATGTTTTACTCAGGTGCCAAACTCGTGGAATAATCCTGGAGCCGTGGGTTGGTTCCCTCTTGCAGTCCGGCCCACCTCACAGGGTTGTTAGGAGGATTTTTAAGCCACGACAGCCATAATATTTGGGCCTTGGAGTTTCCCCACCCCCCAGGGCCAAATCTGATCATGGGGGAAACTGCAAGCTAGGCCAGCTTTGCTGGTGGCCGAGCGTGCAAGCCACGGTTTGTTTGTGGGCAGCTGAGTTTCAGCGGATGTTATGCTTGGCCGGACGAGCCGAGGGTCACGCTGGGTGAGTCTGCCTCGGTCTCGCTCTGCCAGAATCTCCTTCTCCTCCTCCTGGAAGAACCAGGAAGCTTTGGGGAAGTTGAGCAACCTGCCAACCTCAATGGATCCTGACACCCGTGAGGTTAAGACAAGGATGCCAGCAAGCCACAACCTCAGCCAAGTTTCTGCAGGGCCCCACCCTTGGAACCTGTGCTCTGCGTGGGATGCCTCAATAAAATTGTGGATGGGCAGGTCTTCCCCAGAGCAACTTCCCTGGAGAAGTTACAGTGTTGTTCAGTAAACACTACAAGCACACTGGTCTGGAGCTCGTTGCTACAAAACACTTCCACGGTACAGGTCCTCCTCCTCCTCCTCCTCCTCCTCCTCCTCCTCCTTCCTAGTTGGGTGATGTCTGCAAGAAAAAACACCAAGCTCAGGGAGCACCAAGGACCCCCAGTTTCACAACCCACAACTCCAGAAGTTGTGAATGCTGCAATGCTGGAGATTTTAAAGAAGAGATTGGATGACCATTTGTCTGAAATGGCATAAGGTCTCCTGCTTGAGCAGGGGGTTGGACTAGAAGACCTCCAAGGTCCCTTCCAACTATTCTATTCTATTCTATTCTATTCTATTCTATTCTATTCTATTCTATTCTATTCTATTCTAATTCTATTTTATTCTATATTCTATTCTATTCAATTCTATTCTCTATATTCTATATTCTATATTCTATTCTATTCTCTATATTCTATATTCTATATTCTATATTCTATTCTATTCTATTCTATTCTATTCTATTCTATTCTATTCTATTCTATTCTCTATATTCTATATTCTATTCTATTCTATTCTATTCTATTCTATTCTCTATATTCTATTCTATTCTATTCTATTCTATTCTATTCTCTTCTCTATATTCTATATTCTATATTCTATATTCTATATTCTATATTCTATATTCTATTCTATTCTATTCTATTCTATTCTCTATATTCTATATTCTATATTCTATATTCTATTCTATTCTCTATATTCTATATTCTATATTCTATATTCTATTCTATTTATTCTATTCTATTCTATTCTATTCTATTCTATTCTATTCTATTCTATTCTATTCTATTCTATTCTATTCTATCCTGATAAACACAAAGAGAATCACGCTTGAGCTCCACTCACATCGAGTCAGTTTATATTAAACCAGCATCCACAGATCTATCCTTAGTCCTGGATGAGCCTATCTCTGACTCCCTAACAAATGTCGGTCTGTTCTCCTTCTTTTCTAGAACGATCCCCTCAAGATAATGCTTGGAAAGCTCTCAGGTGCTTCCTGGATTTCTCGGTGAAAATTGGCTACCTGTCGCCCGAATATATATTGTTGGCCCACAGCGACGTCAGTGACATTGTGTCTCCTGGAGAATTTATCCGTGCCGAGATTGCTAAGTGGCCAAATTACAAGCATTCTCTGTATATTTTGAATCGCGGCGGACAATAAAATTCACCGATAACGAAAATAAACTGGTTTTCCTTCTCGATTAAAAAAACAAACTAATTTTTCTTCTTGTTAAAGAAAACCCGCACCGATTTTCAGCAGGCCAATGAAACTTGATGAGTTGAGTTGCAGAGTGGACCCTCCATCCGTACCATCCTTGTTGAATCTGACTCCTTCCCCAAATCAATCCATTTCTGCCCCACCAAATCTGCCCCATTCGATGCACCTTTTCTCCGTTGTGTTTTGTTTTGCTATCGCTCCTCTTAAATTAGGTTGAATGCCATTTTTTTTTCCTCTCCCTGGTGTTTTTGTTAGTTTGGTCCTCTTAAATTGGGCCTCGCCCTTCCTAGCCCAGCTGAGCCGAGGGTGGAAAGAGAATTGAATCATAAAGGTGACCTAGGAAAATGGGAGGAGAATCCCAGCTCGTAAATAAAGATAATTGGAGATCTGCAAAGATTGGAGAATGCATTTGTTTATTTTTTGGGGGTCTGTGGGATAAAGGCCTGGGTTTAAGAGGGAAAGAAAGAGACAAGGTTTACGCTGGAAAAAAAAAAGTCTGGTAAATTCACTGTCAGTAAATTTCTCTTTGGTTCCAGGTTGCTTCTCTCTTTGGTTAGTTTCCATCCGTTGCTTCTTCTCCTGCCTTCTGCTGCTTTGGTGAATAGCGTGACCCCCCCCCCTCTTCTTCTTTGTGGCAGCCCCTAAGTGAAGTCAACTGAGAATTTTTAGTTGAGGTTCGTTTTATTCTTTTGCGACTTTGGGCTGAGACCGAGGTGTACTTTGCAATTCCTCCTGGCAGGGTTGCATCAAACGGCGCCGTAAATAGAGCCGGGCCAGCCTTGGAAAAGCAGGTTAGGTCACCCTCATCCACCACCCACGTCTTCTAGACGCTGGGTTCAAGGAAGCTGCTTTTGGGGTTTGCAAAATTTTATTCCGCCTAGCCAAGCCGGAGCTTCTGCATCCTGCATCTCGGTAAGTCCCGGGCTGTGTGGGGCTTTGAATTAGGATGGAAATGGTGGGTTTGGGAGCAGAGCCAATGCCCCAAAGATGCTTCCCCCCCCCCCCAGGCTACTGGACTTTCTTTATTTTTCTCTGAAGACGTTTCGCTGCTCACTCAGGAAGCTTCTTCAGCTCTGACTGGATGGTGGAGAAGGGAAGGAACCATCCAGTCAGAACCAGTTAAATATTCTATTCTATTCTATTCTATTCTATTCTATTATTATTCTATTCTATTCTATTCTGTTATTATTCTATTCTATTCTGTTATTATTCTGTTCTATTCTATTCTATTCTATTCTATTCTATTCTATTCTATTCTATTCTATTATTTTCTATATTCTACATTCTATATTCTACATTCTATTCTATTATTTCAATCCCATCCTTTCAGCCACCCCACTCACAAAGTTGTTGCTCAAACTCCAGATAACTAGATCGATGCTAGGTCTGAATGTGTAGCAACTTTAAAAACAACCCATCTCTTCAAGTAGGTCACCCCTTCCAGAATTTAGAAAGAAGACAGGCTGGGCCAGCTTGGCTCACCTTAAGCCTAGATCCATGTTGTTGAGCATGGAGAAGACCGGTTGAGCTTCTGGAAAAGCTGACAGCTCCGGAGATGAGAAGGGGTTGTATTGTTCCTTCACATTGATCCTCAAAGCTTGGGCACCACCCAAGGATGTATATAGGAGATGATCAGACCACGCCATGAGTCAACTTTGGCTCCGTTCTTCTTGTTGTCCACCTCTCTCTTTCTTTCCTCCTGCAGGGACAGGACCCAGCTTTGAAGGTGACACCTAGGGGGGGTGAGGAAAAATAGAAGATTAGAAGACCCTGAGGTCTGATCTTCTAGAGAAGATTGCCTTGACTTCTAGTTCTTCTCCTTAGCCCCCGTCCATCCTTTCTTCCTCACCAGAAGCCTGGACAGATCCTTCAAGATGTCCAGACTGTTCCGAGCCTTCAACGAGATGATTGAGCGTCAGTCCAAGGTGGTCCCAAGCAAGTCCCCGGACTCCGAGCCGTTGAAGAAGAGCGAGTTCAAAACCCTAATTCAGAAGGAGTTGACCACTAGCAAGGTAATCTGATTTTTTTTTTTGCAAGAGATGGTTTTTATAGAAGGTTGAAAAGGCAAAAGAGAAGAGAAGGTGGGTGGGAAGGAAGGAAGGAAGGAAGGAAGGAAAGAAGGAAGGAAGGTGCCTGGATACTTATTTACTTCCACTGTTGATTGCTACTTGATGGATTGATTATAGGCAATCGAGTTGTTCATGAATATTTTTTATTTTTTTTTAAAAAAGATGTTATATTTGATGTAATTGTGGGGTCTGGCCTGAAGGCTGACCTGGAAAAAAAAAGGGAATTTTTAATTCTTAAATTCATTTTCAGCTTTGATTGAATTCATGTGCCAAGAGGTACTAGGACATTTGATAGAGGAGAATACTTGTAGATCAGGGTTGAACCATGGGTGCTCTCTGAGCTGGGTGGTTTTCCTGCAGACGTTTCATGACCCAACTAGGTAACATCATCAATGTGATAAGGGAGTGGGGGATTGTGGGGAGGGGGAGGGGGGATGGGGGAGGAGGAGGAGGAAGAGGAAGAGGAGGAGGTGGTAGTAGAGGAGAACTGAGGGGTCCTTGGTGCTCTCTAAGCTTGAGTGGTTTTCTTGCAGACGTTCCTAACCCAACTAGGTGACATCATCAGTGCTAGAAGCCATGGTGTTTGCACTGATGATGTAACCTAGCTGGGTCATGAAACGTCTGCAAGAAAATCCCCCCAAGCTCAGAGACCACCATGGACCTCCCCCCCCCAGTAGGTCATTTATTGGCCTGGACCCACCTCTAGAAACCATGCATCTCCAGCCTTGCTCCTTGACAAAAATATGCTTAGGCTATCATTTGCAAACCAACTGACCCACCCCATTTTACGGCCTCGGGGTCCGTTCTTTTTTCGCTTTCCAGAGGACGTGCAAATACAAGAACATCAAGCTTCTTCACGACTCCGACGCGGAGCTGATGAGCGAGAAGATGCTGAGAGGCCAAGGGCACTGAAGGAAATCCATTTGCAAGAATTTCTAACCCTTTGGATCGCCACCCCCCCCCCTTAAAAGGAGGGGAAGGATAAATTGGACCAGCGCTCTAATTGCATTCCTTTCTCTCCACCTCTCTAAAGTGGTTTTCCAGTGCTTCAGCTCTGCACATGCTCAGGAGCTGCCATTCTGCAGTTACAAATACTGAGAATTGCATCATTTTAAAGGCGTCGCTCAAGAGCTTTGCTTTAGCCTGTTTGGAGCAACGGCGGAGCGATTAATGTGGTTTTTGTGGGTACCGGCCACAGGGTGGTGTTTGCCATCTGTTTCCTCCAAAATATACAGGTTCTCCAAGCAGCTAGTCCATATGGAGGAGGAGGAGCTGCCTCTTCAGCTTACTTGAAGTGATTTATTTGCTAAAGGAGGGATGGCCCGAGTGAAGAAAAACTGTGAAAGAAAGCCAAAATTTTCTAAAGCCATTTCCCCACCCCAAATATTATCTAAGGTGTAAAAACCCTGATCTGATATTTCAGCCTGTTTGCCTTCTACCTTTATTCTCTTGGTTTCATTTGCAAAGGCTGGAAAGTTTGCATTAATACGTACAATTATATTACATTTACATGCAGCATAAATACATTATATTTATATTCAAAGAAATTGTCCCAAATCTCCTTTCTTTGCAATACGGTTTTACCTCATCCTGTCTTCTACCAGCCATTAGCAAAATTGTGTCTGCGGATAACATTTGCCTGCTCCATCATTAAGAACTGTTTGGAAACTAAAATTAAATCTAATTTAAGAAAGGGAGTTTTTTTAAAAAAAAACTCACAGTGACTGCAGATAAATAGAAATAGCAAAACGGTAGCTTCTGGTTCAAATATATTTCTTTTGGTTTCCATTTTTTATTTTATTAAATAGCGTGCCTGGCTGAGGAATTCTGGGAGTTGAAGTCCACAAGTCATAAAAGGGTCCAGTTTGAAGACCCCTGTCAAGGTCCCACCCAGAAGTTGTGAGACGTTTGAGCCCCAAATTTACGCAAGACATTCGTTAAGTTGGGTTTTGCCCCCTTTTATGACCTGTCTTGACCCAGTTATTAAGTGAATCCTTGCGGCCGTTAAGTTAGAAACACAGTTGTTATTGAATCTGGCTTCCTCACCGACTTTGTCAGAAGGTTGCAGAAGAGAATCACGTGACTCTGGGACATTGTGACGGTCATAAGTATGAGTCAGTGGCCCAGCGTCTGAATTTTGATCACGGGACCACGGAGAGACAGCAACGGTTGTAAGTGTGAAACATGGTCATCATTGCCGTGGCAAATCGGGGAATTTTTTTATCAATGTATAAATATTTATAAATATTTCATAAATCAAGCCACCTAGAACTAAGGAGAAACCTCCGGACAGTGAGAACAATTAACCAGTGGAACAACCTGCCTCCAGAAGCGGTGAAGGCTCCAACACTGGAAGTTTTTAAGAAGAGACTGGACAGTCATTTGTCTGAAATGGTATATAGGCTTTCCTGCCTGAGCAGGGGGTTGGACTAGATGACCTCCAAGGTCCCTCCCGACTTTATTATTATTATTATTATTGTTAACAACCTGCCTCCAGAAGTTGTGAATGCTCCAACACTGGAAGTTTTAAAGAAGAGACCGGACAGCCATTTGTCTGAAATGGTATATAGGGTTTCCTGCCTGAGCAGGGGGTTGGACTAGATGACCTCCAAGGTCCCTCCCGACTTTATTATTATTATTATTATTATTATTATTATTATTATTATTATTATTATTACCTTATCTTTTAAGAAGATACTGGACAGTCATTTGTCTGAAATGGTGTAGGGTTCCTGCCTGGGCAGGGGGTTGGACTCGATGACCTCCAAGGTCCCTTCCAACTTTATTATTATTATTATTATTATTATTATTATTATTATTATTATTATTATTATTATTATTATTGTTGTTGTTGTTGTTGTTGTTGTTGTTGTTGTTGTTGTTATTATTATTATTATTAACTCTGGCCAGGAGTCAGATTTGATGTGTGCTTGTGTTCCTCTTCACACCCACGCCTAAAGGTCCCACACGAAGGCAACTTTCCAGTGTCTGCTAATTCATGCATTTTAATACCATTTTGCCAAGGGACAAGCAGAGAGCAGGGTAAGGCACCAGAAGGGGAAGAGAGAAGGAGGAGGAGGAGATGATTACATGATTAAGGGTCACAAGACCGGTTCTTCTCGGAAGTTCTCCAGATGGTTTGGGGGCTGCAGTCTTCTCCAGGTCTTCCGTGGACGGGTTTGGCCTCCGAGAAGTCAACAAACACAGCCGCCAGCCCAGAGTTGCGTGGACGGTCTTCTGCGAGCATCAATTCCCGGGTCTTGCTTTCTTGGTGGGCTTCCATGTTGGTTGAGGTCTGAAGCCAAGAGGTGGACTTTCTCCTTCCTGCTTCCCCTTCCTGGTTCTGACGTCGCCTTCAACGGCGTCTTAACAGCATTTGGGGTTTTGGTCCTGCTGCTTAGGGCAACATTGCTTGGGAGGGGGGCAGTACTGCTGAGGTGGGGGGCAGCACTTCTGGGGTGGGGGGCAGCACTTCTGGGGAGGGGGGCAGCATTTCTGGGGAGGGGGGCAGCACTGCTGAGGTGGGGGGATGGTCTTCTTGCACTGGGGAGGGATGGGACACGATTGCTTGCACTGCTGACTCTGGAAGGACATCCTGGCGGGTGTCGAGAAACCTGGAAAAGGGACGAAAAAGAAAAATTGTCCGGTTATTTTCCATCGTCAGAAAGTTTTATTCGAGTCATCTGGTCCTCTCTGCCCTGCCTTCCTGCTTCCCTCGGTGGTAGACTGCTCCTGGACCTGGAAGATCCACTCTCCCTCACCTCACTGATGGAGATGACGCTTAGCCAAATCAGACGAGAGAGCTTGCCCCCCCCAAAAAGCCAAGTTTCCGTCCCTTTTTTTAAAAAATAAATAAATCATAAATTCAAGGAGAAGAGACAGGGCCACCTTTTGCTGGCCGGGGAATTCTGGGAGTTGAAGTTCCTCCCTGAGCAGGGGGTTGGACTAGATGACCTCCAAGGTCCCTTCATCATCATCGTTGTTGTTGCTGCTATTATTATTATTATTATTATTATTGTTGTTGTTGTTGTTGTTGTTATTATTATTATTATTATTATTATTATTATTATTATTATTATTATAATATCTTAAAGTGACTGAATCAAATGCCTAGATGAAAAGGGAGAGACCACATTGCAAATATTAAAATTTGTTCTGATCGGTATCATTTCATCGGAGAATTTTTAATCTCCACCCTGGATTGGTCAGTCCACCGCTGGATTCCTTTTGGGGGAAAAAAACCACCCCAACTATTGAATTGCCAACTTCCAGAATTACTAGCAGCTAAACTGCATTTGAAAAGATCCCAGCCAGGAAGCTAAAGTGGATTTATTTAGTTTTCGTTGCTTTTTCAGCAGATCGATGGGGCTCAATCAACCCGAGGCAAACCTAACAGGCCAGTGAGTTCCCTAACCAAACTAAGGCTAATTAATTATATTTATTACTATAATTCAAGTAAGGCCAATCACCAACTCTTAAATTCATAAAATTAAATAATCTATTCTCAAGCAGGGTGATTTTTGCCTAATTAACCGGAATTGCCATCATTAATCAAACCAACCCAAATCGCCTTTGTTAATTCTAGTCATCCTCAGTTCATAAGGCAATCTTATCTAAACAGCCTCAATAAATTGAACTATTTCCTCATTGTGGTTTCTCCACCTGTGTAAATCTAGAGAGAAAAGGAATAACCGCTAAATACTAAAAAACACCCATTCAATTCAAGCATCCTCCAATAACCCAATTCTTTTTAAAACTGGGTTTCCTTCTTCTTTAAAGATTGCAACCTTCATCCAAATTCAATCTGAAATGAATCTGAATTTAAATTGAGGCTTGAGTTTAAATCTTCAGACTTTGAGGTGCATCAAAGCACCCGCTAAAGATTAAAACAGCCGCATTCAGTTCGAGCATCCTTCAATAATTCTTCTTCCTCCATGGTTGCAATCTTCACCTGAATTCAATCTGAAATAAGTATGAATTTAAATGTAGGCTTAAGTTTAAATCTTCAGCTTTAAAGGTGCATCGAAGCACCCGCTAAAGATTAAAACAGCCGCATTCAATTCGAGCATCCTTCAATAATTCTGCCATGCTTTAATAAACAAAAAAATTCTTAAAAAAATAATAATAATTCTTCTTCCTCCATGGTTGCAATCTTCACCTGAATTCAATCTGAAATAGGTATGAATTTAAATGTAGGCTTAAGTTTAAATCTTCAGCTTTAAAGGTGCATCGAAGCACCCGCTAAAGATTAAAACAGCCGGATTCAATTCAAGCACCCGTCGATAACTCAATTTTCTTTTTTTAAAAAAAAACCAAAACAAAAACTGGGTTTCTTTCTTCCACCAAGATTGCAACCTTCATCGGAGTTCGAACTGAAATAAACCTTAATTTAAGCTTGCCGGCCCATCTATGCTCGGCCTGCGGAAGCAACCCCAAACTAGGAGAAACAACTCAGACTACTCACCGACTTGGAGACACGATCTGAGTTCCTCAGTAGTTGGGAGAGCGAAGTGAATTGAGGAAGCAGAAGCTTTGGGAGAATTTATAAAGCTGCTGCTAAATATTCCGTTTGCCTCCAGTTCCTCCTTATTAGATGCCAGAGGGAAGAGAAGGAACCCTGGAACCACCCTCTCCGAATGCGAAACGATCCCTTTTGCAATGCTAAACCTGTTTATGTGGCCGTTCTGGCACTTACTCAGAACCGCCTGGCTGCACCATCATTGGGAAGGGGGTTAATTATTTGCTGCTCATCCCGAGATAATGGCCTTGCTTCCTTATCAGATCTGGGTTAGTTCCCTTCTCTGGAGGAGGAATGACATTTCTGGACGGAAAGAGGAGAAGAGACTGGGAATAAGAAGAACGCAGGGAGTCCTCGAACTTACGGCTGGCGGCTTAGTGAGGGTTTGAAGTTA